GCTTAACCGACTGCGCCACCCAGGCGCCCCTAAACTAAGTATATTTAAAAGTAACGAAAAATGCATTTACAAGTGTCTCTCTGACTCTTAAAAACTGAGAGCAAACTGAGGGTTGATGGGGGTGGGAGGGAGGGGAGGGTGGGTGATAGGTATTGAGGAGGGCACCTTTTGGGATGAGCACTGGGTGTTGTATGGAAACCAATTTGACAATAAATTTCATATATTGGAAAAATAAATAAATAAAGTGTCTCTCTTTTAGAATTTAAAGTACTTTTTTATAGATGTAAGCTTACAGAGTTTTACAGAAATTCTGCTGTGTACACATTTCTGACAAAGAAGGCTCAGAAGAGCCAAAGACAACTCACAGCCTGCTAACTGGAAGAGCTGTTTTCACTGACTGATGATAGTTCCAGAAAGCCTCAATATACAACACAGACAAATATAAGAGAAGTTGAGAGTAGATTTCAAAGAAAGAGAGTCAGTGCAGAAAAAAAAACTGGCCAAATCTGGAAGTTTTATGGCACAGAAGAGTAGAGACTGTGAGCAACTGAAAAAATGTAGAAAAGAGAGCTATCATATTTTGGGGGGACAACTACAATAAATGATTATTTTTATTTATTGTTATAATATTATTATTATGTTTTTAGATTCTATTTTTTCAAGCATCTCTACACCCAATGTGGGGCTCAAACCTACAACCCTGAGATCAAGGGCCACATGCTCCACTGACTGAACCAGCTAGGCACCCCAAATGATTATTTTAGAAACATAACCAACAAACATAAAATACTATTTGGGGTGCTGGTGCCAAGCTAAATATACCACCATTACTACTAACTAATATGATTACAATCACTGCTAAAATTTAATAAGCAGCACATGCTTATTAAAGCAGACACTTTGGAAAGCACCATAAATGGATTCAGTCCTTATAACAGTCTTAGGAGATAGATATCACCATCAACCTCATTTTACAAATGAAGAAACCAGAGACTAAAGAAGTTAAGTACTTTTCCCATTATCAAGTAGCTAGTTAATAAAAAAGCCAAAATCAGAAATCAAGTCATGTGATTACAGATGCTGAGAGGAATGTGCTATACTCCTCTTCAGCTGGTAGAATAATGAGCCAGTAAATTGTGGGAATATTAACAGTAAACTGTTTCCTGCATATCCTTTTAGAGAGACATTCACGAACAGAAGAACAAAAGTTATTTCACCCAAGTATAAATTTCAAATTTTTAAATGGAAGACAAGGGAGAGATGCTTATAGACACTATGGAAGTAACTTTTTCACAATATAAAACAGGCAATGGATAGTATCTCTGAAGAAATGGTATAATGTTGGCTTATCCAAAACAAAACTAATCTAAAGCAAAAAGGTTGGATTTTCACACTCTATAGATTCTTTTTTAAAATTTTTTTGACGGGGAGAGCGGGTGCACACACGAGTGGGGGAGGGGCAGAGAGGGAGAGAGAGAATCCCAAGTAGGCTCCATGCTGTCAGCACAGAGCCTGACATGGGACTCAAACTCATGAACCGTGAGACATATCATGACCTGAGCTGAAATCAAGAGTGGGATGCTTAACTGACTGAGGTACCCAGGTATCCCTCAAACTCTACAGATTCTAAGTAAAGCAAACTATTGACTGCAACTAACACATGCCCTGTAAGTAGTTAAAGGGAGATACAGCACAGTAAATTGACTGTGAGAATGAAGATGGAGTCAGGCTGCCTGGGAACTAATGCTGGCTCCACTACAAATAAGGAGAGTAACTTAATCTTTGTGCCTCAATTTCTTAATCTCTATAATAAGGATAATAATATATTGTAATTATATCTACCGCAAAAGAAATTCAATAGAGAGTACTAAATTAACGTTAGCAATTTTTATTGTTAAAATGAAGCACCTAAAATTGAGTACTAAGTTATTTTCAATAAATGCTCTTACGCAAAAGTTCCACACACAGCAGCACTAAATTTTATACACAATGAATATGAATGTAATCACTATATACAGATATTTCTAAAAAGTCAGTAGGAATTTTATGTGAAATAAAATGAAACAAAACAAAACAAAATAAAATGAGTGTTATTACTATCCTTTTCCTTTTCTTCCATAAAGAAATTAAAATGAGAACACATCTAGTCTCACTTCACAGAATTAAAAATGACAAGTAAATGGACATGATCTTTTATAAGATAAAGCTTCTGATAGAAATGTCTTACGAGGGTGCCCGAGTGGCTCAGTCGGGTGAACATCCAACTCTTGATTTCGGCTCAGGTCATGATTTCACAGTTGTGGGGTCAAACCCCGGGTGGGGCTCTGCACCAGGCATAGAGCCTACTTGAGATGCTCTCTCCCTTTCCCCCTCCCCCATTTGCACTTCCTCTCTCAAAAAAAAAAAAAAAGAAATATCTTACCATAATCTTACTATCCACAATAAATGTTTGATAATTCTTCTAAAACAGTATCTTCTTTAGTGTTTTTCATATTTGTATGGCAAAGCACAAGCAAGTGTAGGTACTCTTTATGGAACCTCAAAAACGATGAAGATGTCCATATGGTACCATAAGAACTAGGAAAAACTTTACCAGATTACAGAGTTGCGACACATATGCACATTCTCCAATATGAAAATCATAACCACAGAGGCGCCTGAGTGGTTCAGTGGGTTAGGCATCCAATTCTTGATTTCGGCTCAGGTCATGATCCCAGGGTTGTGGGATGGAGCCCCATGTCAGGCTCTGTGCTGACAGTGCAGAGCCTGTTTAGGATTATCCCTCTCCCTCTCCCTCTCTCTCTGCTCCACCCCTGCTCTCTCTCTCTCCCTCTCTCTCTCAAAATAAATAAATGAACTTAAAAAAAAAAGAAAATCATAACCACAAACCTAGATCTATGAAAAATCTAAGCAAGATCAATGTAATTTTTTCATTAACATTAATTTGGCGCTTGTTAATAATAATAATAGTAGGTAACTTTCAAATACCTATTATGTGCCAAGCAATGTGCCGAAGAGATATTTTTATGTATATCTCACTTCTAACTGGTAAGTGAGACAGTACAGATTCAAACCAATCCTGACTCAAACCTTATACTCTTAACCACAACACTATACTTCTACATTATGCAATAATATCTAAAAACTTAAACATCTTAATTACACTTAAGATGTTTATATATATTTTATGCTAACAAGGAAGAATTAACATTAATCAATTTTAAGAACAGAACATAAGTATCAATGGGAGGACCACTTAAGAACTTGGGCATTAAATGTATGCATGGTGATTAGAGTTAATAATATTGTATTTATATACTTGAAGGTTGCTAAGAGCATAGCTCTTAAATATTCTCACCACAAAAAAAAAAAGAAAAAAAAGAAATGGTAATTATGTGATGCAACTGAAGGGTTAGCTAATGCTATGGTGATAATCATACTAATACATAAAAATATCAATGCAACACAATGTGTATCTTAAACTAATACAATGCTATGTGTCAATTATATCTCAATAAAGCTGGGGGGAAAAGAGAATTACTGAGAAGCTCCTATTAGTGATTTACTCTGAAAATTACTCCTAAGTTCCAAATGTAAGGTGCTTTTAAGTACACAGCTAAAGATATCTAGTTCTACAAGCTGTAGTTCAAATAAAGGCCTTCTTACTATGACATAAGCCAGTCATAAAAATCAATCCTTGACTGATTAACCTAACTCCTCAGAAGTAGGAGATACTCTACTTATTTTAATTTTGAGGCACAAAGGTTAGTGCTATAAAAAAATGATACCCCCGGGCGCCTGGGTGGCTCAGTCGGTTAAACGTCTGACTTCAGCTCAGGTCACGATCTCGCGGTCCGTGAGTTCGAGCCCTGTGTCGGGCTCTGGGCTGACCGCTCAGAGCCTGGAGCCTGCTTCCGATTCTGTGTCTCCCTCTCTCTCTGCCCCTCCCCCATTCATGCTCTGTCTCTCTCTGTCTCAAAAATAAATAAACGTTAAAAAAAATTAAAAAAAAAAAAAAAAGATACTCCTTAGTCTTTAGTCTGATTGATATTTGCTAAAGGAAACATAACTGAAATATTCAGTTTTGTAGAGTCTTCTAACAATTACTACGCTTATGTCAATAATTTCTAATTTTGTATTACTATTTTGGTTTAATTTTTTTTTTTTTTTATTTGAGAGAGAGAGAGAAAGGAAGAGAAATCATGTGCGGGCACGAATGGGGGAGATGGGCAGAGGAAGAGAGAGAATCTTAAGCAGGCTCCACGCTAGGTGCAGAGCTCAATGGGGAGCACTATCCCATGACCCTGGGATCATGACCTGAGCCAATATCAAGAGTTGGACGCTCAACGGACCAAACCACCCAGGCACCCCTCTAATTCTGTATTATTATAATTAGCATATTTATAGCTATAACTGGAAAGACAGGAAATTATATAAAAGTAATTCCCATCAACGAGAACTGTGAAGAGATTATTCATAGTTTAAACATGTCTGGCTCAATATAACCTAAAATCCTATTATTTTGGAATGAATTTTTACTAAAAGACAAACGTCTTGAGTCTGCATTAGACAGCTATTAAAGACAAGAAGACCTGTTAATCATCATGTTTAAAAATAATCTTAAATCAAGCCTCAAAATACATCTACCTTATGATATCCATTGCCTGGTAAAGTATTTCAGATTGATCAACTCCAAGAACCTTCTTTGCCCCAGCTTTAGCTGCAAACATAGAGAGAATTCCAGTTCCACAACCAACATCCAAAACTACCTGGTAAAATAAAAAAAAAAAGGTATTATTGAAAAGGTCTAATATTTTAAGTTCTAATCACATATTATGATGTTTCTGGCAAGTAATTGATCACAATATTTTTTTGAAAATTTTAAAATGTTTTTTATGTATTTTTGAGAGACAGAGAGACAGAGAGCAAGCAGGAGAGGGGCAGAGGGCCAGGGAGACAGAATCCAAAACAGGCTTCAGGCTCTGAGCTGTCAGCAAAGAGCCCAACAAGGAGCTCGAACTCGTGAACTGTGAGATCATGACCTGAGCCGAAGCTTAACTGACTGAGCCACTCAGACACCCCCATTGATCACAATATTTTAAAATTTTACTGATCAATTATGGTAGTGATTTCTATTTGAAGAAGCTGAGGATATCACTACAATGAGTTGTTTTAAATTCTTCTTCTTCTTTTTTTAAACATAAGCTCTATGTCCAGCATGGGGCTTGAACTTATGACCCCAAGATCAAGAATCCTATGCTTTACTGACTGAGCTGGCCAGGTACATACACCAAGTTGTTTGCACCCCAACTTGTTTTAAATTCCTAACAGTCTTTTTGGCCATACTGGCCATATTCTGCTACAATCAGATGCAACAATGTAAATTAAGAGATGTTTTACACAAAATAAGCAATTTCTACAGACTTAACAGGGAAGTATTCTCTATTTTTTTTTACAAACTTTTTTTTTACATTTATTTATTTTTGAGAGACAGAGAGAGACAGAGCACAAGTGGGAGGGGGGCAGAGAGAGAATGAGACACAGAATCTGAAGCAGGCTCCAGGCTCTGAACTGTCAGCACACAGCCCAATGTGGGGCTCGCTCACAAACTGTGAGATCATGACCTGACTTCAAGTCGGTCGCTTAACCGACTGAGCTACCCAGGTGTGCCATAATATTCTCTATTTTTAATTTCCCCATTGCATGCATGCTCTAATTTAGGCTTAGTAGTTCTAAACTGTAGCAGAAATAAATTTCTCCAAGTTTGAAAGACAAGAATTAAGTTTAGCAGGAGAGCATCATCCAATACAACTAAAAAATGCTCATAAAAGAATCCTAGATGTAGAATATTGCCATATCCCCTCCATTTCCAAAATTAAATATTCAACTCACTTAAATAATACAGGTACAATAAAAACAAACTGGCTTCTAGAATTCAGCCATTTAAGAATATAAGTTTTTAAAAATAATACTCATTATCAATGGTGAAGGTAAAAAGAATCAAAATTTTTTTGTTTTTTTTAAAATTTTTTTTTCAACGTTTATTTATTTTTGGGACAGAGAGAGACAGAGCATGAACGGGGGAGGGGCAGAGAGAGAGGGAGACACAGAATCGGAAACAGGCTCCAGGCTCTGAGCCATCAGCCCAGAGCCTGACGCGGGGCTCGAACTCCCGGACCGCGAGATCGTGACCTGGCTGAAGTCGGACGCCTAACCGACTGCGCCACCCAGGCACCCCAAAAGAATCAAAGTTTAAGATGATGTTGGGGACAGGTAAAAAGCAATTATTTCCAAATCAAGAATTGCATGCTATTTCCAATACAGTATAGTGAAACCTGCTCCATTCAAAGTAAAAAACAAAAACAAATTACTGAGGAAACATATTAAGCAAAATAGTCAGAGATACAGTATTTTCTGTGAAATGACTGCAATCTGCACTGCCTTAAATCTTTCAATATCAATGGCCTAAACTCCTATGTACTTATCTCAAAAAATGAAATTGTTTCAGTATTCTCCTATAAATATTTGCTGAGCATCACTAAGTGCAATCATGATCACAGTGATGGGGTACAGCAACAAACAAGACCAAGTTTCTGTCTTAATGGAGCTACAGACAATGAATAAATAAATACAAAATAAGGTTAGCCAGTAGTGTTATAAAGAAAAATCAAGCCCCGGAATAGAAGTTAGAGCAGAGAAGAGGGGATACATACTTTAAGCATTTAAAATAGGTCTGTGAATACACCTCTGATATATGTGGGCTGAGAACTGAATGAAATAAAGGAATATGCCATGTAGAGATCTGGAGGAGTTTCTTCTAAGCAATGGAGGACATTAACAGCAAAACATAAGATTCCAGGCAAAGCAAGAAGACCAATGTGGCTGAGCTGGGTGAGAAAATGTTGCTCGATAGTGAGGTAAAGGTTAAGCAGAGGCCAGATCACACAGAACCTTTGGATTTTATTCTGAGTAATGGGAAGCTACTGTAAGAACAACAGAACTAGAATTAAAAATCTATCAAACTGTTCAACATTACTTTATTCTTCAGCTTGGTAATATAGGCCACATAGTTTCACATCAAAAACTGTATTTCTTATTTATCCTTCAAGAGAATTTTCGTGTAAAGATGATGTAACACATTTTTTCCGTCCCTTTTTTACATAAACAGAAGCATATTATGCCACTGCACTTGCTACACACTGCTTTTTGTATTTAGCAATGTAATGTAGGGATCTTTCCGTATCAGTTTACAGAACTTCTTTCTCTCGTATGGTTGTAAAGGATTCAGTATTATGGCTATACCATAATCTACTGATTTAGTTTTCTACTGATAGACATTTAGGTAGTTTTGAAATTTTACTATGACAATCATTACTGTAAATATAGCTTTATATCTAACCCCATTCACACATGAGTAAATCTACAGAATACATTTCTAGAAGTGAAAATACTGTGTCAAGAGAGAATATGCATATTTGTAATTGTGCCAGACATGACCAAACTACCTTCCATAGGGCAGTTCTGCTCATGAGGGCCCTAACCAGCAATGTTTAAATGTTGATATCCTTACAGGTGAGACTAGCCTATGGACCATATAATCAAACTTTTGGCTTTTTGCCAATTTTGCAAGTACAAAATTATGATACACTGGCATAGTTATAACATGCATTTCCACTATCATGAGGTTTAGCATCATTCCTTATGTTGTAGAGCCATCTGTAGTTCTTTTTATGTAAAGTGTCTACTTATATTCTTTATTTTTCCAGTGAGCTGTCTTTTTCTTATGAAATTTTGAATCAAAATTTTCTTATCAAATAACAGTTCTTTGTAAGTGAAGAAGATGACACCTCTATAATATAACCTGCAAAGTTTCTCTCAGCATATATTTTTGTGTTTCGATTCTGCTTATAGTGATTTTGGCTATGCAGAAATTCTTTACTTACAGTGAAACTCATTAATCATTTCTTTTATGGCTTCCTGCTGGATTTTGATTATAATTAGACTGACTTCCCCATATTCTCTCCTATTTCATTCTATTTTATCCTCATACATTCTCTTCTAGTACATTTATGGTTTCATTAACATACTTTTTTTTTTAGTTTATTTAGTTTTAAGGATGGTATTAGAAGGATCTTTTTTTTTTTTGTACATGAATGTTCATTAACAACTTTATTTTTAAAACCCAAAAACTAAAACAAAATCTTAAATTTTCATCAACAAGTGAATGGATTAAAAAATGATTATATATGTACACAAGGGCATACAATCTTTTTCTGTAAAGAGACAAATAAAACATATTATCAGTGTTCTGGGCCATATAGTCTCTACTCAGTTCTGCTGTTGTAGCATGAAAGTGACTATAAACAATAATATAAGCAGACAGGGATGGTCAGATTTGGCCAACAACAAGCTGAAGTTGGCCAACTGAATTGCCAAGGCTGGATGTATATACAATGAACTGCTACTCAGCAATAAAAAAAAACACACTATTGATGCATGTAATAACATGGATTAATCTTAATTATGCTGAATAAAAAAGAAAACATACTATATAATTTCATTTATAAAATCCTACACTTCGTAAACCAATCTATAGTGACATAAGGTTTATCAATGGTAATTGTAGCTTGGTTAAAAAAATTACTTAGATATGGTTCCTTCAGTTCTTTCAACATATTTATAATTTTTGATTTAAAGTCTTTGGTAAACCCAACATCTGGGACAGTTTTTTTTAAAATATAATTTATTGTCAAACTGGCTTACATACAACACCCAGTGCTCATCCTAACAATTGCCCTCATCAATGCCCATCACCCACTTTCCCCTCTCCCCCACCCCCCATCAACCCTGTTTGTTCTCTGTATTTAAGTCTCTTACGGTTTGCCTCCTTCCCTCTCTGTAACTATTGTTTTTTCCCCTTCCCTTCCCCCATGGTCTTGTTAAGTTTCTCAAGATCCACATATGAGTAAAAACACATGGTATCTTTCTCTGACTTATTTCTTTTAGCATGACACCCTCCAATTCCATCCACATTGCTGCAAATGGCATGACTTTCTTCTTTCTCATTGCCAAGTAGTATTCCATTGTATATATAAACCCCATCTTTACCCATTCGTCAGTTGATGGAGGCTCTTCCACAATTTAGGCTCTTTCCACAATTTGGCTATTGGTGAAAGTGCTGCTATAAACACTGAAGTACAAGTGCCCCTATGCATCAGCACTCCTGTATCCCCTGGGTAAATTCCTAGCAGTGCTATTGCTGGGTCATACAGTAGATCTACTTTTAATTTTTTGAGGAATCTCCACACTGTTTTCCAGAGCGGTTGCACTAGTTTGCATTCCCACCAACAGCGCAAGAGGATTCCCATTTCTCCACATCCTAGAAGTGAGGATTTGGGGGAGGTAATTAGGTCATCAGGGCAAAGCCCTCGTGAAAGGAATTAGTACCCTCATAAAAGGGGCCCAGAAGATTCCTCTCTGGAGGAAGGCATGTCTATGCCTATGGTGAACTACAACACAAACCTTCACCACAATCAGTTAGTGCCATGATTCTGGATTTCCCAGACTTTTAACTGTGAAAAATCAATTTAAAATTTTTTAATTATAAGTCACTAAGTTCATGGTATTTTTGTTGTAGCAACCCAAATGCACAGGGATCTTGAACATTAAGTAAAATTTCTGTACATACTTTGGTCTACTTTTGGATTTTTATTTTGCTCCATTAATTTATATAATCATGTGCCAGTAACTATTGTAATTACAGAAGCTT